TCATTTCGTCATTCAATAGAGTTGTTATAATAGATTATATGTCGCATGAAAATGCCTCATAATAAAAACCGAGATAGCAAGGGTTTATGGAAATAATTTAGGATAAGTTCTTAGTCATTCCATATTAGAAAATAATACGTTTTAATACTTGTTAAAGTTTGCGATTTTCATATTAAGATTATTTAATCTTGGCTGCCAAGGTCAGGCACGTTTGTTTGACACTCATTTGGCCTATAAACTACGTAGATCGACGTGGACAAGATATAAATGTTTGTCAAAGTCTAAAGTAATAATATAGGTGATAAATATAATGAAACTCAACTTGATCATAAAGCAAATATTCTAGTGCATCACAATCGGCCAGTACTGTACATCAATTTATATCTAAACTGTTTATTAGAGGTAACAAATCATGAAAATTTGGTAAGAAATGCTATCAACGTTCCAGGTCGATGACCGGATGTTGCTCGCACTTTGCACTCAAACGTAAACGGACACGTATGATATCACTCAACATCAGTTCCCTTTTTACACAGGTTTCTATTGCTGAAATTATTGAACACATATATGACCACATACAAAACAATAAATGCAATGCAGTTGGTGATCTTAAACAATTGCTGTTGCACACACACAACATACATTTCAGACTGAACGACGGAGTTTACCGCCAAATAAATGGTCATCATCAACACCGTATAGTGAAACGAATGGTGTAGCAACAAGATCGTCCTTTGATCCATTTTCGCAAATGACTTCATTGCTACTCTAGAAAATAATATTCATAAACTAACAATCGGTCATTTCCCACTATGCAAGCTATAGGTTAATAGCATTTTACGTTAAGTCGATGTCAGTGTTAATCCGTTTAGACTCTTGAGGGCATTCAACTCAGTACATCAAAACATGCAGTTCACTCCAGAGAAAATATAATGAGCAGATCACATTTCTGGCCGTTTTACTACGTCTTCGATCAGACGAAACCATCCAGTGGAAGCCATTGTGGAGTAATCAGTATATTCATTTTCAAAGCTATATCCCATTGTAACGGAAAGCAAAATTAGTTCTGCGTCTCGCTACGAGATGTGAAGTGACCAGCAATTGATGAGCCTGCTGATAGACAAAATCAACACTAATACCGCCCGCGGTAACTTTTGCTTTTCAGTTTTTATTATACTTTTCCACTGAAGTATATACCGGAGAGAGAGAGCGGACGTTGTCCGGAAATAAATTGTGCTACACTGCACTGCTGTTTTCAATTCAACTATTTAATTATCTCAGCTGCTGGGATCACTCAAATGTATGAGATAACAAAATCAGTTTAAGCAAAACACGGTATCGATCCATTGGATATAGTAACTGAAGGTGATTTGCCTCAAACTTTTGATTAAGGGAACATTGGACACTGAACTTAATCATAGCAAGCACCAGCCGATTTTAGCAGTTTAAATAAATGGGTAGATCTAAGAAGCCAATGAGATGAATTAAGGACCCGTAATGTGGATATGAGTAATGCGGAATGTGGAGTTAATTGCTTTGCGGAGGATGACGTCTATAAACGGGAGTACGGTAGCCGAGGATAGATGACATAAGTATAATGGTAGGCGATCGGCACTGATGGGGTTATATTCACTTCTAGATACCTCGATGGAAGGATTTATTTCGGGCGATCACGTTAAACGTGTACATGTGATAAATGGTGTTAAATTCCCCGAATGCACGAGATGATAGTAGTTCTATTCAGGTTGAGACGTTTGGATGGACAGAAAGAGTGAAGTATTATCTTTTCCGCCGGTGTTGTCAGAATGTTATACATGTCTCACTGTGCCTATCCGAACACGGTCAGCTGTGCTTACCTGAATTTCATTGGGTTTAATCACGCCGGTTCGCGGGCAAACCGACAACTCATTCTCATCTCTGGAAGTCAGTTTCCATTCAAATCTGGAGAAGTATTAAAAAATAATTTTTCAAAGAGAAAATTGTGACAGTATTGTTCAAGTTAACTGCATGGTTAAATCATATGCTTGCAAGTTATTTTTAAATTCCAAAAACCCCATTTTTTATTAACGATTTTATTCTAGCAGACCAATTTTTCGAGCGAAGTCTGATCATACAATTACAGTCAATCTCCTGCTATGTTGCACCCCTGAGAAGTCGCATTTTCCAATATCTTCCCACTTTTTCGAAAACCCAAACCAATCGTATGCCTAATAGCGTAGTTTCTTACTATGTGATGTCGCACCCCCAATATGTCGCAGTTCCTGATACGTACTCACTGGGTCGTTGACCATTGACCATCCACCCTGAAATGTCACACTCAACCAATGGCATTTTATTTAATGTGACGCGTTCATGGCACTGCTCACTGATTGGATAATCCTTTCGAAGAAGTCAAACCGATGCAACTGACCGGAGACAGTGCCATTTGACGTCAAAATGTGCAAGCGCCTATCGATCAAAGAGGAGCAGAATGTGTTGGAAATGCTGAAACAGTCAGGTGCAACTCAGAGCTCCGTAGACAAGTCACTTGGAATTTCACGAAAAACTGTCTAGAATGTTGGATCCCATAGAACGACTGAATTGCATCGACTGATTGCATCACAATGACTTCAAGGCTTCCAAAGGTTGGTTTCGCTCTTGGCCAGACAGATATGGTACTGAACTGTACAAAGTAAGAAATAAGCAACTCATGTGCCTTACTTTATAGGTCTGTGGGGAAAGTTTAGCGGTTACACGTGATGCAGTGGATGAGTTTCGAGCGGGGTGATGGGTTTACCCCTGGAAAGGGTTCTCCGTTCAAAAAGCCACATATATCTGCGGACAGCGCCGTGACGTGGGGAGTGTGGCCCGCC